CCATCTTGTCGTGTGTGTGTGTGATTTAAAGCTTTCTGCTGCCTTGAGGAAATTGAAGCATTATTGTATTCATCTGTTGCTTATATGTTGGTTTGCTTCACTCTGACATTTAATTTTTAATGTATGTGGACAATGGGCTGGATAAGCTTCTCTTGTCACTAGTTTGGAGTGCTAATGAGCAGAGTAGCATATCTGCCTTGGTGAATTTGGTAGTGGGTGGAATTGTAGGCATGAGTCTCCAATCACTGAATATTCAGAGCATCTAAGGGCAGACTGAATGAGTACTGACAACCATCTGTAATCGATCCAATGATCCTGAAGTGAGTGGTGGCACCTGCACAGTGGGTGGAGTGGAAGTTGCTGTTGATATAGTTGAGGAAGGTAACTGGTTCCTGACTGATGGAGAAAAAAAAAGATAGGGAGGAGAGAGGAGAAATAAAAAGACAAGAGGGGAGGTGAAGCACAAACTAAGAAGACTTTTAAAAGTAAAACAGAGAGGAGAAAAAAGAAAATGCAGCTCTGTACGAACACAAGTGCTAGCCATTCTGCTCGTGTAAAGGCTGGAGTGGAATAAGGGGCTTACTGTGTGGAGTAGCAGGGTGGGGTGCTATTAACTGTGAAGGCAACAAGGGCAGTATGGGTTAAAAAAGTGGGGACAAGTGAGGATGGAAGAAAAATACTAAAGAGAGGAGGGAGAGGAGAGGAGAACTAAGAAAAAGGGAAATTAAAAACAACTGATGCAGCAATGGCAGTGGGAGTAGGGGGTGACAGGATACCAGGTAGTGGGAATAGGGATGACATACCTGTGTTCAAGAAGTTATTGGGATCAGAGATATACCACACTCTCTGGCTACCAATCATTGATGTGGGTGCTGGTGCAAGCCTGGGCCAGCAGAGTCCACTGTCTGGTTCCTTCTCTGATCAGAACCTTGCTTGTAATCATTCAATATAATGATGCCATGTTGGGAGAACGGGGTGGTGCTGTAAGTTAAGCATTGCACTGCTACCTGGAAGGTCGGCATCAAAGTTACAAGCCACTCTTCAGAAAACGTATACAAGGATCTGACACGCTAGTATTTAACAACAACACCCTTTTGTGCTTGGCTAGTTGGTAACTGAACACACCCTATGCCTCCTTGTTCACTGTTTCTATTCAATTTCTTCCCGAAATCAGTGTTTGATCTAAATTTGCATCCTTTCTTTGAAGCTGTGGGTTCCAGGACTGCAATCCAACTTCATTTGACTTGGTTTTTCAGGCTTTTGTTGCAGAAGGTCTAGGTAGGCTATTTGCCTAGTCTGCCATCCTGGATCAATCACCCACTTTATTTTTTAACTGACTCCTTTCAATGGTTGTTGTTGTTTTTGCTCAGTGTGACCAAGTTGGTCCCGACCCATAGTGACCCCTGTACAGGGTTTCCTAGGAGCTTGAAACCGCTGACCTTGCAGTTCAAATAGACCTTGTAGTCCAGCCTATGAATCCACAGAGCCACACCAGGAGTCAGTCCAATGTAAGAGGAACTGAAGATCAGAGCTGGGGATTCAGTCCATTTCAGAAAGACTTTATCTCGTCACTTACATTTCCACTGAGTGACACCAAGGAAAGCAACCATAGGAAACTCACCATTAAACACTATTTTTTCTAATGATATAAATATAGCAAGGAGTTTTATAAACATTTTTCTTGATCTTATATCTGAGAAATCAGTATGTTCTAACCTTACAAACACTATAAACTTTGTAAGAGAGGAGTAAAGCACTTTGCTATGTCTAGTGAAAAGTTCAACTTTGATTTTGAGACCTACTTGTAGTAATTGTGTAGTATAATATGGTATATGAACTTTAGTTCTGAGTTTCTTCTTCCCGCTTTACCCATATTTTCTCTACATTTTCTTATCTATTTGTTTTCACTTTCCTATTTTCAGTATATCTCTAAGTCAGCCTTGAACCTTACTTTGATTTAAACAAAATTCAAAGAAAAAACCCCCACAAATATCAAAATTGATTCAATATTATCTTTAGTGATTCATGAATCATCTGTTAAAGATTCCAACAAATCACACCTTATAACAGGGTCAGAGTTAAGATTACTAATGAATATCTCTGACTAAATTATATTAGAATTTTTTTCCCACTTAGAACCAAAACATCTCCTTTGCTAAAGTAGCAAAGACATGTTCTCTACTTAGAGAATAGGAGGCAAAGTAGAAAAAAATCATACAAACAAAACACTTCAAGATAGTATACTAGCATACGTTAAGGATAATAGGAACATGAGAGAGGGTGCTGGAAACACAAGGCCAAGGTAAGAAAGAGAAGATTTTTAAAAACATGTTTTCTTGTTTGTTATTTCTAAATTTACTAATGATGATTAGGATTACCAGTTGCAGTCAACAGGCAACACCATGAGTACAAAGCAGGGATTTCAAGTCTGAGATCTTTCAGATGCAGATCAGCAGAACTGTCTTTTGAGGCACCTTTGGGTGGGTTGAAACCACCAAACTTTTGGTTAGTTATTGAGGGATTCCTTTTAGGATTTAGACCTATCAATAATTAGGAATTACTTAGTCAAAAGGGTTAAGGTTAGGAATGTTTTCATCAGAAGGGTTCAGTGACATTTCGGACATTAGCGCTAAAAACAACATCCTGAGTTCCAAACACTGTGGTTATAAGAAAGCTCTGGTCCCCTTCTTTTAGCAGCTGTGGACAAATATGCCACCTCTATGCTTCAGCATTATATGTCTGAAATGAGTCTGTAGAATGACAACCAATACTCAAAACTGTATCCTCAGGATTTACAACATGTTTCCTGATGAGAAGCCTCTCTGCTTCTATTGCTTGTCTCCCTTGCTTATTTTTCGTGGTTTTTTTTTTTTTTCCTCTCTCTTTTTAAATGTTTTATTATGACTTATGTGATAGTTTACACGGGAGAACACTAGTTTCACATTCATCCTATCGTATATCGTTTTATTGTCATGGTTACAATCCCCTCCATGCATCATCAACCAACCAAAGGGTATACCCTTCCTACAAGCATGCCCTCCCCACCTCCAGTCATCAGCACATAGCCCCTCTCCCTCTCTGGGTCTAAAGTCCCAAGCTGCTCCATCTCTCCACATCATTGTCTCTGCCTCTATCTCAGGTATTACTGCCTCTCTGGGTAGGGTCCTGCTCTCCACTCTTCTCCATGGTCCAAGGAACCTCCGCGCCTAGACTGCAAAGTTAATCACACCCCTCCTTACTAAAAAACGTCTACCTTTACATTTCCAACCCTCACAAGCAGTCCTGATAACTATTATTCACAATTGTATCACAAGAGACCTATCCACATTCCCTTTCATCAGTCCCACCTAGACAGATTAGATACTAGTCAGTGGAGATTCTACCTTTCTCCTCACCCTCTGGATCCAGGCTCCCTCTTGAAAGCTT